CGGGTAACTCCCGCTCCGGGACAAAGGACTTTCTGTGTCGCCGCCGTATCTCCGTCCCCAGAGATAACTTGGTCTTTCTCGGGAAGCTCGAGGCTCTCCCAGGCCTGGGGCCTCTCCCGACCCGGAGGTTAACTTCCCCCACCGCTGGACGTCCACTTAAGACCTCCCTGGGACGGACACTGCTCCCCGGGGCCTCAGCGGTCTACTGAGTGCGCTTTCGGAGACGGGATTTTGCCTACGTGGCCTTCCCAAGCCTCCGCGGCCCCGAGATTATTGCGCCGCTCGCCCCTTCTCCCAGAATCGTACACAACGCCACGCTTTGAAAAGTGACCACCGGTGTGCCTAACGAGTGCGAGGTTTTTAAGTGACTATTGGACCGTGCGTTGGCGAGCCGACATGATTTCCTGTCCCCGAAGGGGTTAAAAGTGTCACTGTCCTTTTACTCCCGCTCTTCACCGCCCCCGCCACAGCCACGTGGTGTGACTGGAAAGCGAACTACACTTCCCAGAGTGCCTCGCGAAGCCACAAGGCACTACGATTCCCAGCGTTCCCCGCGCGGGGCGGGGTTCAGTCCGAGGGGCGCTAGGCTGGCGGAGAGACTACAAGTCCCAGGGAGAGGCGGAGCGGGGCCCTAGGTGTACGGGAAGCGGTAGGCAGAGGTTAGCGGCGGGCAGCTTGGGGGTCTGGGTGCAGGAGCCCAGGGTTAGGAGCTGCAGGCATGCTGCGTCCCAAGGCTTTGACTCAGGTGCTAAGCCAAGCCAACACTGGAGGCGTCCAGAGCACCCTGTGAGTGCGCTTCGAGGACCCGACGGCGAGTGCTGGAGCGGGGCCGTGCGCGGCTGCTGCGGGAGGGTTAGGGAAGGATCTCCACGAAGGGAGGCGGGGGCAGAGGCGGACAGTGGCTGCGGGAACCAGCATGAGAGCCCCTTTGGGAACGGGTAGCCGGCGTGCAGGGCACGGTCCAAGACACACTCGGCCCAGACCCTGACTTCCTAGAAGGGAGGAGGGTTAGGAACCCAGGCGTTTTGCTTCTTCCCCTGAGCTTGTCTGTGTCCCTCCCTGCCCCTCGCCAGGCTCCTGAATAACGAGGGATCCCTGCTGGCCTACTCGGGCTACGGGGACACGGACGCCCGGGTTACCGCAGCCATCGCGAGTAACATCTGGGCCGCCTACGACCGGAATGGAAACCAGGCATTTAATGAAGACAATCTCAAATTCATCCTCATGGACTGCATGGTATGAAGAGAGGAGTCAGACTTACTCTGTTCCCTAAGGGGATCTCAAGAGGGAGACCTGGATTCCATTCTGGATGGTTGGAAGGGTAGGGAGATCTCCGGAACATGATTACTAAGGTTTGGTCAGCAGCAGCATTTGTAATAGGCAGGACTCTGGGAGTCTAGTGGTGGTAAGGAAGGAGCCCGAGACCTCTGGTCTGTCTTGCGTTTTGGTCCCAGCCAGTCACTTACTTGTCAGTTATGGATCCTTGGGTGAATCACTTAACCTCTATGAGCTTCCTTACCTCCTCTCTAAGGACTGAACAGTAATTTCTTATGCCCCTCCCCACTTCCCCAGGTGTTGTGAAAAATCAAATGAAAGAATGGCTAGATTTAAACAGAGTGTGACCCAAGTGTTGTCATCTGCTTCTTCTGACTCACAGAACCACAGCAGAGTCTCTAGACCCCTTCAGTTTACAAAGAAAGGAAATGAAGTGCAAAAAGAGGAAATGTGAACTTCTTTGGAACAGGAACTATCTCGTTCATCTCTGATCTGTTCAGTCATCAGGTTCCTGCAATGTTCTTAGAACTAGTGAAAAACTAGCAAATGGAACAGGCAAAACCCCAGCCTCATGAAGCTTACAGTCTTATATTTTAAAAATAAGTAAAACACATTAGGCTGGACACCATGTTGCAGGCCTGTAATTCCAGCAACTGAGGAGGCTGAGGCAGAAGGATTGCAAGTTCAAAAGCAGCCTCAGCAACTTAGTAAGGCCCTAAACAACTTAGCAAGAACCTATCTCAAAATTTTAAAAAAGGGGGGTGGGGACAGGGAGGCTAGGAGATACGGCTCAGTGGCTAAGCACCTCT